GCAGTCGTGTTTTCGAACCAACACTTTAATAGAAAACTATTAAAGAAAGTTTTAATGGAAATATATAGACAAAAACTATATAAAAAAATAAAACTTAAAAAAAACTAACAATATAAAACTATCAATATAAATAAAACAAAAAATTACAAGTTATTAAAAATTATATAAAATACAAACAATATAATTAACATAACGAGAAAGAATTTATATCTATATAATTAATAGGCAAGACGATTTTTTGTGACCCCTTTTACTCTTACAGTATTCTGATCTTGGCAAAAAATATATAATTTTAAAGGTATTTGTTCGCAGATGTGCACAATATCTATATAATTAATAGGCAAGACGATTTTTTGTGACCCCTTTTACTCTTACCGTATACATCTGATCTTGGCAAAAAATATATAATTTTAAAGGTATTTGTTCACAGATGTGCACAATATATATATTAATGAGATCGGTTCAGAATTTTAGGAGCTATAAGCATTTAAAGTTGTTACTAATACATAGAAACATAGTCACACGTACGTATTCTTGAAATTAAAAACAAACAAAGCATGGAACAAAACAAAAAAGTAAACAACACGGCTTTTTGAATAAACGAGAGGAGAGTGCAGGAACGTTTAACTTCTCTGTTGCTGTTTTCTTTTTGTATTTTGCATGATATTTGTTTTTGTTGTTTTTAATAAGATTTTTGTAAACAAATAAGTACGTAAACAGGCGCAGGCAATGCGAAAATAGGATTTTATTGTTTCATATTTTTGTGTAAAGAGCTAAATTGTGAATGAGATAATGATCTATTTTGTTATAATATCGTTACGATTGTTACCAAATCGAAAGGAATATTTTTATAAGAAGTAGGACTTCAGTTTTATATTTAGAGTTTTCGATTGAAGGTTTTTCGTTATTTAAACTTTTCATAATAATTAAATTGAAGGACTTTCCTGAGGAAACAACGAACTGGGAATATAAAAACATGTGTAAATAATGCTTGGGGACACCTCAAGATATGCCAAAAAATGTACTGATATTGGTGTTTGACCTGGAAAAATATTGGTAGGACATCAGTACCGGAATTCAGTAATTTTTTTAATTTTAAGTATTGATATCGTAAAGTAATGACAAATATCGGTTACATTAACGAATTTTCAATTCCATAACTTTTTAACGACCGTAGAATATTTTAAAGACAAAGATCGGAAAACTATAAGCCTGTATAAAATATATGTAAGTAAAGTTTAGTTCGCCATGCCGGTACATGATACACCGCAATAAATGGATAATAGGTATATCGCTTATATGCAGGTTTAGCACAGCGAGGATTTGATGATATTCTTCTTTTTTGGGTTATTCTAACCAATTAGGAAATAGTAGTGTAAAGTGAAAACTGTAAATTGAATAGGTGATGGTTATATGTTATATACAAATAAATGCTAAATATAAATCATGTCTTTTGAAATGAAGAGTGTTTAACCGTACTTAGCAATTTATCGTTTATTTAATAAATGTAGGTCTGCTGAAGTCTTTGTCGAGTGTTATAAGGGAGAATTTATACAGCATATACTTGATGGAAGGACTACTAATGACATCCAAATAAAATTTATGATTAGATAGGACATTATTTATTTTAAATATTTTTATTGTTTCGACAAATTATTTAGAACATTTCCCTCTGTATTTTGAACAGCTAAAATATCTTGGTGTGTACAGTAGAGTACTCCATCATTGTCAACGTAGCGTAAATATGTAGGGGATAATAAGTCGATAGAAGAAATGTTCGATATTTATTATTTTTAAAATAGCTGAAATACTTTTGTAAAACAAGTTGTATAACTAATTTTGACAATTGAGGTTTTGAACTTCTGAGGGGACTTTTACCAAAAACCCATCACATTTTCTAAAAGAAAACATTAATCAAAGTAAATTATACACTTTGATAATATCAATAAAGTCAATTTTTTACCGCAGATTTGATCTACAAAAAAAGTGTTTTTTTTTAGCATATTTATGCATTTTTTCCAGCATAGGTTCTGGTCGAATTTCGACCGCTGGGCGAACTCTAGTATATATTAATGAGATCGGTTCAGAATTTTACGAGCTATAAGCGTTTAAAGTTGTTACTAATACATAGAAACAATAGTCACACGTACGTATTCTTGAAATTAAAAACAAACAAACAAAGCAAGAAACAAAACAAAAAAGTAAACCGTGTTGTTTACTTTTTAAAAAAAAGAGAGGAGAGTGCAGAAACGTTTAACTTCTCCGTTACCGTTTTCTTTTTGTATTTTGCATGATATTTGTTTTTGTTGTTGTTTTTAATAAGATTTTTGTAAACAAATATGTATGTAAACAAGCTTAGGCAAAGAGAAAATAGGATTTTATTGTTTTATATTTTTGTGTAAAGTGCTAAATTGTGAATGAGATAATGATCTATTTTGTTATAATATAGTTACGATTGTTTCCAAATCGAAAGGAATATTTTTATAAGAATTAGGACTTCAGTTTTATATTCATATTTATATATACATTCCCGAGGAAACAACGAACTGGGAATATAAAAAGATGTGTAAATAATGCTTGGGGACACCTGAAGATATGTCAAACAATGTACTGATATTCGTATTTGACCTGGAAAAATATTGGTAGGGCATTAGTACGGAAATTCAGTAATTTTTTAAATTTTAAGTATTGATATCGTAAAGTAATGACAAATATCGGTTACATTAACGAATTTTCAATTCCCTAACTTTTTAACGACCGTATAATATTTTAAAGACAAAGATTGGAAAAATACAAGAATGTCAAAAGTTATGTATTGAAATATTTTTAAAATATAAAATTATTAACGTGAACTTTTTATTGGTCGTTACACTGCCGATACTTTTCGGTTATGTTTAACAAAAAAAATCGGTGAAATAAAATACTGAATTGTGGTACATAATTATTAGTTTTGATTGATTTTGAAGATTTAAATGATGGATTAATGAATTGATTCAGTGTCAGTAAGTAATAAAAAAAGCCTGTAAAAAATATAAGTAAAGTTTAGTTGGTCATGCCGGTACATACCGCAATAAATGGATATGTATATCGCTTATATGCAGGTTTAGCACAGGGAGGATTTGATGATATTTTTCGTTTTTGGGTTATTCTAACCAATTAGGAAATAGTAGTGTAAAGTGAAAACTGTAAGTTGAATAGGTGATGGTTATATGCTTTATAAAAATAGATAAAACTGCTAGATGAAACTGCTAAATATAAATCATGTCTTTTGGGATGAAGAGTGTTTAACCGTACTTATTTACGTTTATTATTCATTTACTTGCTATTAAACTTGCATATATTAGCAAAAGACTGAAATTTATAGTTAATTAATGTTTTCTTTCAAACAGTACTTACAAAATATATGAAAAATTAAGGCGTTAAATTCTTCTTATGCATATACAAAATCAGTGTGTAATTGGATATGCCAATGCATATCGTTATGCGCTCCTATATGAAGGCTAATAGAAGGCCCATTAGAAGACCTCATAGAATATCTACTTTTAAATTCTATTAGAAGACATTAAAATTTAATAAATGTAGGTCTGCTGAAGTCTTTGTCGAGTGTTATAAGGGAGAATTTAAACAGCATATACCTGATGGATGGTATATGCTGTAAACAGCATATACCTGATGGATTGACTACTAATGACATCCAAATAAAATTTATTTATAATTAGATAAGACATTATTTATTTTAAATATTTTTATTGTTTTGACAAATTATTTAGAACATTTCCACTAAGTAACAGCTAACATTTCTTTACTGGTGTGTACAGTAGAGTACTCCAGCATTGTGAACGTAGCGTAAATATGTAGGGGATAATAACTCGATAGAAGAAATGTTCGTTATTTTTTATTTTTAAAATAGTTGAAATACTTTTGTAAAACAAGTTGTATACCTAATTTTAACAATTGAGGTTTTAAACTTCTGATGGGACTTTTACTAAAACCCATCACATTTTCTAAAAGAAAACATTAATCAAAGCAAATTATACACTTTGATAATATCAATAAAGTTATTTTTTTACCACAGATTTGAACTACAAAAATATGGTTTTATTTTACACATTCATACAATTTTTCCAGCATTGGTTCTGGTCGAATTTCGACCGCTGGGCGAACTCTAGTATCTATAAATACAACAAATTAATAATAAACTTCCGAAACCAAAATATATAATTTCTACGACAACTAAAAAAGTCATAAAATCAAACAATAATTGTTGCAAATTGTTCAAGGTCAACCAAAAATAATATTAAAAAAAACAATAAGAATATTTGTACTAAGACTAAAGGTTATTGTCTTATACTTTGAAACAGCAACAAAAATCAAAGTAAAACAGACAAAGAATAAAAACAATAACAAATACTAGTAACTGAGTACATATGCAGTAATAACAATAATTTTGAAGTCCCCTTCAGAAAATGACTTAAACATAAATAAGTCACTTATAAACACTACTTAGTATTACGATGAAATTCTGACTAATTAACTTTAATATTAATGTAAATCCCACCATGAACATTTATATGGATAGCTCATATTTCCCCTTGCCCCCATATAACCTCTCTTCTATAAAATCACTTTTTTTGCTAACAAATTGTTAAAATATTTCGGAATTAATAAAAAAACTACTTAAATACTTTATTATTAAAAGTAATCCTAATAATAAAAACATACACATGACCAGCTATACATTCTCACTTGTTATAATTGTTTTTTTATTTGTATATATTAACTTTTATTTAATTTATTGTTTATAGATTTGAGCATGCGTCAACATTGATTGAAAGAGAGCAAGGTGGTTAAAGAGTTTTTCTATTGTTCGTGCATTTGGTCTATCTGCTTATTATAGATCGTTTTTCTAATTGTTTAAAACAAAAAAATGCAAGTTCAGCAAAAATCAATGTATTTGTACCATGTGTGGAGAATATTCTTCACTCGTTTGCAATCGTTGACGTTGAATATTGCTGAACTTTACGCGGCAGACGCGTTACAAACTACAGTGTGCGACTTGTTAAATGAAAATACGCTATTTCAACCTTTTAGACAGAAGCCTACAATACGTTGCCTATAACGTGTTGTGTACTTCCGTGTTGTGCACTTCCACCTTTACTTTTTCCCCTACTCTTTCCACTTGTATGAAAATATAATCAGTCTTGTTTTGATATTTAACTGAATCGGTCAACAAATAACAGCAAAAAATGGCAAGCTTCATTTGTGAAATTTGTGAAAAAGTTTTTACTCAGAAGTCGTCACTAAAAAGGCATACGAGATTGCATCACGATGGTCCATTATCATCATCGTTGAAGTGTACACCATGCAACTTAATTTTTCGCTCTCGGCAGGAATTGTTAAGTCATAGACACCGAATTGAACATAGTGAAAATAAAGGAAACACTGTTTATTGTCCGGAGTGTAAATCAAATATACAGGAAAAAAATTGGCCACTACATTTACGTACAAACACTCATAAAGCAAATTGTGTTCAACAAATTGATAATAATAATATAAAATGCATTAGATCATCTTTCACGAATCGCATAGCTACATATATATGCGAAAATGAAGATAAATCAAATATAATTGTGGAAGATTTTTTAAGTACAATTAAAGACAAAATAATTGAGTTGCTGCAACAAAATTTACAAAAACATATGTCGATAAAATTCAATTTTGAACTGATTTGTAATTACGTGTTAATTAAAAATGAAACATCTGAAACTGGAGAGATATCGCATCAAACTAAAATGCAGATAATAGACTCAACAACAACATCGCAAGATTTACAACAACATTACTCAAATCATTGTGATAAGATAATAAAGAAAATGGGTGAGTTTCAGGAGAGAGACAGTGGATGGACCTTATTGGATATTGCGAATTTAAAACTAAATATAAATAAATACGAATGTTTAAAAGGTTCAAATTATATTAAATTGCCAGAAAAGATAATGCGAAAGAAAGCTTGCATTAATATAAATAATAAGGACGAATACTGCTTCAAATGGGCCATAATATCTGCATTATTTAAAGTAAAAACCCATGTTAATTTGTGGAAATCTTATGATATTAATGATAGAATTAAAGATGAAATGATAACGCTAAAAAACGGAAGGGTTTTAAATTTTAAAAGTTTAAAATTTCCCTTAGCCGTTAATATGATAAAGATATTTGAAGAAAATAACCCCGACATCAGCGTCAATGTTTTCGGATTGGAAGGGGACAATGTTGTGGGTCCGTTCTACTTCACACAGAAAGAAAAGAAAATCCACATTAATTTGTTATTATTAGAGGAAGACGAACGGGTTCATTATGTGTGGATAAAAAATATATCAAGGTAAACATATTTATAAAAATATAAAAGTTATATTTTTATAAAGATCGTTCCTAAATTTCTTCTTTTTTTTCATATAATTTTAGATTGCTGAGAAGTCAACTAACAAAACGTAAAGGTGCAATATATGTATGTAATACATGTCTCATCCACTTTCATAATGAACCAGCCTTATTAAAACACAAAGAGGGATGCAACAAAATGGTTACTATAATGCCGAAATCAGGTGATAACATTCTCAATTTCAAAAATTTTAAGAACCAATTGGATGTACCGTTTGTCGTTTATGCTGACTTTGAATGCATTTTAGAATCAACAAATTTCAAGAATTCTACTAAAGTTGAGTCGGTACAAAAGCATATCCCATATGCATATAGTTACTATATTAAGTGTTCATTTGACTCTAGTTTAGACAAGTTTAGAATATATAGTGGTGAAGATTCTCCAAAACATTTTTTTAAAAGTTTAGTAGCTGATACTTCAGATATTTATAATAACCATTTAAGTGTAAAGAAAACAATGAATTCTTTAACGCCATCTCAAGAAAGGAAACAAAATGAAGATACAACATGTCATATTTGCGAGAAATTATTAGATAATGATAGAGTGGCAGATCATTGTCATTTAACGGGTGAATACAGAGGCCCTGCTCACAATAAATGTAACTTAGAATATCAAATAGCAAAATTCATCCCTATATTTTTCCACAATCTTTCGGCATATGATTGCCATTTGTTTATTAGAGAACTTTCATCTATTAAAGGTGATATAAATATTATTCCTTTAAATAAGGAATTATATATATCAATATCAAAAAGAATTTCAGTGAATGAAAAAGACACAATTGAATTACGTTTTCTCGACTCATTTCGATTCATGGCATCAAGTTTAGAAAAATTAGCTAGTTACTTATCCGATGATGACTTAAATATTGTAAAATCAGTGTATAGTAATAGTAATGAATTTAGTCTAATGAAACGTAAAGGTGTTTTTCCCTATGATTATATAGATTCAGAGAATCGACTTCAGGAAACACAATTACCTCCTCCTGAAGTCTTCTTCAATAAAATGACTAATGAGTCGTGCAGTGAAGAAGAATATCAACATGCAGAAAATGTTTGGAGTACATTCCAGTGTAAAACTTTATTAGACTATTTACTTTTATATCTCAAAGCAGATGTTCTTCTACTTTGTGATGTATTTGAAAACTTTAGGAAAGTTTGTAAAAACATTTACAACTTAGATCCTTGCCAATATTATACTACACCTGGTCTGTCTTGGGATGCAATGTTGAAAACTACAAAAATAGAATTAGAACTATTAACAGATATTAATATGTATAATTTTATCGTTCGAGGTATAAGGGGTGGTATTGTTCAATGCAGTAACCGTCATTCCATAGCCAATAATAAATATGTAAGTGATTATGATTCCTCGAAGGAATCAAATTATCTTATATATTTAGATGTAAATAATTTATACGGTTATGCAATGTCTCAATACCTTCCTTTTAAAAATTTTGAATGGGTTGAAAACATTGAAAATTTTAACTTAAATGATATTAAAGACGATTCTCCAATAGGGTATATATTAGAAGTAGATTTAGACTACCCCAGTTCATTACATGACTACCATAATGACTTACCATTTTGTGCAGAGACTAAAAAAATTGCAACAATGAAACAGAAAAAGTTAATCACAGATTTAAACAATAAAACAAATTACGTAATTCACTACAAAAATCTCCAACAATGTATTGAAAATGGTTTAATTTTAAAGAAAATCCATAGAATTCTTAAATTTAATCAATCAGATTGGCTAAAAAAGTACATCGATTTAAACAATCAGCATAGAACATTAGCAAAAAATTCCTTTGAACAAAATTTCTTCAAGTTACTAAATAATGCTGTATATGGTAAGACCATGGAAAATGTTGACAAGAGAAAAGACATAAAAATAGTCAGTGAATGGGAGAACAGAGGTAAACGATTAGGGGCTAGAGCTCTTATAGCTAAACCGAACTTCCATAGTAAGCTTGAAATTAATGAAAATATGGTTGTAATCGAAATGAGAAGAGCAAAAACCGTATATAATAAACCGATATATATTGGGTTTTCAGTTTTAGAGTTATCAAAATGGAAAATGTATAATTTTCACTACGATTATATGAAACCTAAATATCTTGATAACATTAATCTAAATTACATGGATACAGATTCATTTATATATGATATCAGAACAAATGACTTGTATGATGATATTCGAAATGATATTACTACTCATTTCGATACATCTGCATATCCGAAAGATAATATTTATAATATCCCGCTTGTAAATAAAAAAGTATTAGGAATGATGAAAGATGAGTGCAATGGCAAAGTTATTAAGGAATTCATTGGTTTAAGGGCAAAAATGTATTCAGTTAAAATTGATAGGGTTGAAAAAGAAATTAAAAAAATTAAAGGTGTTAAACAGTATGTAACAGCTAAACTATCAATTAATAATTTCAGAGAATGTTTACAAGAGAAAAAACTATATCATGACTCCATGTATATATTTAGATCTAAGGTACACCAAATTTACACTCAACACATACGTAAGTTAACTTTAAGTTATTTAGATGATAAGAGATTTATAAGAGAAAATGGTGTTGAAACATATGCATGGGGTCATTATGGAATTAATTCATCAGATTCTGAAATAAAACCATTAAATTTAAGCGATAACAGTAATATTATGGAGGAAGATGATGATATTATTCTTGATAAAGATATGTAAATTATGTAATTTATTAGTAATATGTAATATGAAAAAAATATATAAATAAAAATATGTAATATGAAATAAAATAACAAAATTTTGTATTTATTTATCTTCTAACTATCTATCTATAAAAGCGATGTGTGACTGATTGATTGACTGACTGATTCATCATCGCCCAGCCCATACCGTTAAAGCTAGAATCATGAAATTTTGGTTATCGGTTTCTTTGACATTGAAGAAAGTATTTTTAGAAACTCTAAACTCCTTTGGACAATTTTTGCTAGGACCAATAAGTGAAAAGTTACACTCATTTGAAAAAAGCCCTGTATGACCAAAATGTCCAATTTTGATCCCTTCTAACCCAGTTCTTGACCAATAGATCTGAAAATTGTGTCTATAAAATTTGGGTAATTTGACACGAAATTGCCCATACATACATATATAAAAGCCTTGAGTGACCGATTGATTGACTGACTGAATCATCAACGGTTAAAGCTAGAATGTTGATATTTGGACAGATTATTGAAGAGTATGTACGTGTTGTTCGTTTGCAAAGCAATTACTATGAATGTTTATGATTGTTGTTAATATTCACCTTTATGTTGGGATATAGGTTTTTGCATGTGATATTGTTGCTGATATTGAAGGTAGTGTTGATGGTGCACGTTGTATTGTTATTTAGGATGTTGACGTCCCTAACGTTGTTGTGGTTGGTGTTGCTGCTGATGATAACTGCTGATGATGTTCCTAACCTTGTTGTGGTTGGTTTTACTGCTACTGATAGTGTTGTTTCGGGATTTGCCTGTATTTGTATTGTATATTGCGCTGTTGTTATTGATGTTGTTTAGATTATTACTGGCGTTTCTGTTGTGTGTTATAGCTGTTGTGTCAAAGTTGTACTTCAGAGCAACTAGAGCCCAAGATAAACGTATACTACATGTTTTTAATTATTTAATTTGTGTAATATAAATATTAAAATCGATAAAATATCGCATAGCTACCAGATCTCACCAGCAAACAACTTGCTTTGAAATATTTCATTTGTTATATAGTGTTTGAAAATTATAGAATCTCTCGACAGTAGTAACACCAACTACAACAACGTTGGGAACATCAGTAACACCCACTACAACAACGTTAGGAACATCAACATCTTAAACAACAACACAACGAACAACATCAATACTTTTGAGCTGAATGCAGAACAGAACTGCTCATGTTTCTTCGACATTAATCGAATTCCAATTAATGGGTGTACTTTCATTAGTACGTCAATTTTCATTCGTGTTATAAGAAAGCCTTCGTTAGTAGGGCCATCGTCAATAAAACATTTTACAGGAGTTACGTTATGTAGAAGTAACGTTGTTATGGTTTGTATTACTGCTGTGATTAGGAGCAGTAACACCAACCACAACAACATTAGGAGCATCAACATTTTAAACAACAACACAGCGTACACCACTAACAATACACTAACACAACGGTCAACATCAACAATCACAGTCATAGTAATAGCCTAGCAAACGATCTCGTTCTAAATCTTAATCATATATTCATATCAATATACTACGAAAAAATATAAATCATAGCATTTTATGATGGGGGAGGGAAGACAGAAAGAAAACAAGCAAAAACAATGATCGTAACAGTGTGTGGTTGTCGTCGTATACATATATGTAAGTATGGATCCGTATGAAAAGCAATTTCTTATTTTTTGGTGAGTCATATCTACATATATATAATAAGTATCATTTTATTCTGTCTATAAAAACTTTTATAAACCTGCACCATCAACTAATATAGTGTTTAAAAATTTATGAAAATTTAAAATCTCACGACGTTGCAGATCTTCAGATTTGTACACACAACTTGATTTGGTTTATTTTATTTGTATTAAATAGTTATTTGATAAAATTTTAAATTTGCAAAAAACCCCACTAGCGACAGTTGAACACAACTTGCATGGAGCTCTTTTCAATTGTAATATAGTGTTTGAAATTTATAGAATCTCGTGGTGCACCCTACATGTTATGAATTAATTCATTTATGTAATATAGTTATTAAAAAATAAAATCTCGCGTCGCTTCCAAAGCTCGTGATTTGCAAAAACTCTCACCTGCACACAACTTGCATTGTACTATTTCATTTGTTATATAGTGTTTGAAAATTTATAGGATATATCGCGACGCTGTTCAAGCTCGGTTTTAAATTACATAGTTCCTTTGTATAAGTATTATATAAGTATACTAGAGCTTGAACTAAAAATGTTATCCATGTGTTTTTGAATGTAAAATTGAAATCAACCATAATAGTTTCAGTTTTATTACACCAATGGATACTGACAATGACCAAACAAACGAAATGGAAATTGATGATGATCGTACTAACAGAATGTAAACTGATGATGGCGACAATCGTACTAACGAATAAAACGTCAACACTATACCACCGTCATTAAAATTTACTTAAAATTTACATTCAAAAAAATCTATTGACATGGATTACATTTTTAGTTCAAGCTCTAGTATACTTATATAATACTTATACAAATAAACTAATTAGAAAAATTTAAGTGTAGCGAGATTCTATAAATGCTGGTGACATTTTTGCAAATCTTGGACTTTAGGGGTGATGCGAGATTGTATTTTTTTTAACAACTATTTAATAACTATATTACATAAATGAAATAATTCATAACATGTAGTGTGTGCTTATCTTTAGCTCTAGCGCCACGATATTCTATAAATTTTCGAACAAAATATTATTATTGAAAAAAGCTCAATGCAAGTTGTGTTCAAGTGGGGATTTTTGCAAATTTAAATTCTTTTCAAATAACTATTTTATAAACAAATCTTGAACTCTTGAGCTTTCCCGAGTTTTTACAGATTTTAAATTTTAAAACTTTATATTACAAATGAAATAATTCAAAGCAAGGTGTATTTGAAGTGTTGCTTGTGCGGGTTTATAAAAACTTGTATAGAAAGAATAAAATGATGTATATTATATATTGATATGACTCAGTAAAAATAGCAACAAGCATTCTATATGATTCATATTCTTTGGTACTACATATATAGTATATGTATGTATGTATGTATATAGCTTTAAGATTTAAAACGTGCAGATCGTTTGCTTGGCAAATGATATGACTGCGATTGTTGATGTTCAACGTTGTGTCGGTGTATAGGTTGTATGTGATGTTGATGTTCCTAACGTTGTTGTGGTTGATGTTGCTGATGATTGATCTTGTTTATTGTTGTTGTTTCGGGAATTGATATTGTATATTGGGCTGTTGTTATCTCTGGCGTAGGTGCTGTTGATGTTTTAGATCATTGATGGTGTTTCTGTTGTGTATGCTGTTATTTGTGTTATTGCTGTTGTTATTACTGTCAAAGTTGTATTTCATTTGCTAGAGCTCAAGATAAGCATATACTATCTGTTTTAAATTATTTAATTTGTGTAATATAGATATCGAGATTTGCAAAAACACCCATAAGAACACAATTTGCCTGGAACTATTTCATTTGTTATATAGTGTTTGAAAATTTATAGAATCTCTAGGCAGTAGTAACACCAACCACAACAACGTTAGGAACATCAACATTTCAAACAACAACACAACGAACAACATCAATACTTTTGAGCTTCGTTTAAAAAAATCTCAAACTAACATTAGTACAATCACCGTCAACATCATCATCCATACTGTTAATATAATCGTCAGCAGTTTCAATAGTTGTACATGGTGTACAGGTCATGTTTTCATCGTCCATTGGTTAACACTTACGTCTGTTCGATGATCGTCATAGTTAAATTGCATACAGTTAGTATGATCATCGAGTTGTACACTGGTCAAGTTTTTATCATCCATTATTTTACTAAAACACTAGTGTCAGTACGATGGTAGTCATCGTCAAATTCCATACTGTTAGTACGATCATCGACAATTTCAATGGTTGTGCGGTTGTGGTGTACTGCTCAAATTTTCATCGTCAATGTCCATTGTTATACTAAAACACCATACTGCTGGTGAGATCATCGACAATTTTAATGGTTGTGCGGTGATGTACTGGTCATCACTCCACTTCTACCTTCACCCCGCGTCTTTAAATGCTTTTAAAAGCTATAAAATCTATCGACAGCAGTAATATCAAAAACAACAACTTTAGGTACATCAACACTATTAGCAGCACAACGTTAGGAAAATAATGCTAAAAACACCAACGTTAATAGAAACGCACTCAATTTCATCATTTATTTCCATACTGTTAGTATAATCGACGACAATTTCAATGGTTGTACGGTGGTGTACTGGTCAAGTTTTTATCGTTCATTGGTTTACTAAAACACTAGTGTCAGTACGATGGTGGTCATCGTCAAATTCCAAACTGTTAGTATGATCATCGACAATGGTTATGCGGTGGTGTACTACTCGAGTTTAGTCGTCACTATTTTTATACTTCCATATCACACTGTTATTTCGTTCGTCGACAATTTATATGGTTGTGTTTTGTAATAAAAAAGCTTTTGAATATGCATATCCATAAACTAGAAAGTACGCTCACTGTTCTTTTCCTTCTGTCTTCCCTCCCGCATCGTGAAATGTTTTCAAAAAATATTTCAATTTTTGTTAATTTAAGCTTCGTATTTGATTTACTATATTTGGTAGTATATATGTACAATATAAATATGTAGCTTAAACATTTTGTACGTTGAGTTCGTTTGCTAGGCAGCTACTACGACAGCTATTGTTATTGATATTGACCATTGTGTTAGTGTACAGGTTGTTGTATGTGATATTGTTGCTAACGTTTAGGGTGTATTTTTTCCTATTTAAAAAATTTTAATTGACGATGATCGTACTTACGAAACATCTTTACCCCGTGTCTTCAAATGCTTTTACAAAATATATAGTATATCGACAGCAGTAACACCAACCACAACAACGTTAGGAACATCAACACCATTAGCTGCAGTAACACCAATCACAACAACGTTAGGAACATCAACACTATTAGCAGCAGTAACACCAATCACAATATCGTTAGGAACATTAACATC